GTGCGAGCACCCGCAGCCGGCAGCATCGCTGCTGGCAGGCAGAGGGGATGATGAGCAAGAGGAGGTTTCTCCCCAGAAAACCACCTCCTGGGAGGATTTGAGGCAGGTTCCCAGGAAAAGGTGGCCCCAGGGCTGATGGGGACGTGCCAGCCAGGAGGTGATGCCATGAAAAGGCTCCAGCCAGTTACTCTCTCACCAATTAAATTGGAGGCAGAGAGGGACCCGCACGGAGGGCGGTGAATCATTTACCTGACCTTTCTCCTCTGCTGCCCATCGCCTCCCCTCTGGGCTGCCATCCCCACTCCTTCCCCAGAGGATGCCGGCGGCTCATGGGGGCGGCCCCGAGCATTCCCAACGGGATGGCAAAGCTGCCTTTTTGGGTGACCCCACTGGCCTTTCAGTGATGCAAGGGAGCACCCTCCAAAAAATGCTTCTTTGCAAGCATTTACGTGCAGCTGCCCCTGTTCAGTGGCGCAAACCACAGCTCGTCCCTGTCCCGTTATCTGGTGAGTGTGAGAGCACTCAGTCGGGGTACTTCACCACATCTCTCCCAGCCCCAGCAAATCCTGGCCAAGCGTCAGCATCCCCGGCACAGCAGCACTCCCGGCTGCCCGGGACCACAGGCAGTATTTGCTGCTCTCCCCCCAGGCTCTGCATCCCATTGCCTAGTGCCGTGGCAGAATTTGCCTCAAAAGTCCCTATTTTTCACTGGCACCGGGGGAAAAAATGAGCTCAAAAGGCACAAGCCCCCGAAGGCACCTACCGCCACGCCAGACTGTTATTTTGATGCCTGCCATGTGATTTTTACACTAATCTCATAACTCGGGGGAGCTCCAGGGGGAGTTGAGGTTTGTGCGCGTGGTGCCGGCAGCACCGAGGCCGGCACCAACCTTTCACTCAACTCCTTTAAGCCTCCGAAAAGGCGCTTTTTTTTTTTTTTTCTTTTCTTAGGGCTGGGGTTTGCTCCAGCTTTCTTCCCCCAGCCTCGACGAGGCCAGAGCAGCGAGGTGGGCGAGGGAGCGTTTGATCTGCACGGGCTGAAGCTCCCACCGGCGCTGCCGGCCGGGGAGGGGGGAGGCAACTTCACACGAGCGCCCAAGCCAGACCTCAGCAGTTAAATCTGGGCTGACACGTTAATGAATTTCACAGTACGCCTGGAAAAACTCTCACCCAACCTCAATTTACCGGCGTGGGGAGGGGGCCGGGGCTGGGGGAGGAGGGCGCCGCATTTTGCCGAAGGAAATCTTGTTCCCATTATCTTTTTGCGAGAGCGTTAAGCAGGAACGGGCATGGCTTTGCCTTTTTATCTCGCACACGTGGAATGGGGGAGGTAGGGGGGGGTCTACGCAGTTCCTGTGGCTGATGAAAAAGCAGCGTGCGTGTGCGTTGGCGGCAGCGCACGCGTGTGCTCACGCCTGTGTGTGCACACTCATGCATGAGTGTGTATGCACACATGTGAGCATGCATGTGTACGTGCGTGCTTGCACATGAGCGTACACGTTTGTGCCCATGTGTGAGCACATTTGTGTGCGTGTGCATGTAACAGCACGTGGGTGTGCACATCTGTGCGTGCATGTGCTTGTGTGCACGTATGTGTGCAGATGTAACGATATGTGGATATTTAGGTGCATGTTTGTGTGTACACATGTTCACGTGTCCGTGTTTGTGAGCGCAGGAGCTCATGTATGTGCACAAATGTGTGCATGTGCACACGTGGGTTGCTATGTGGGCTTCTTTGTGTGAGTGCACATGCACACAAGGTAGAGCCTTAAACATAAGGAATACGGGGGCTCCATTGGGGCCGCTGAGGTCGACAGCCTGTGAGGCAGCAGGGCAGTGCCATCACAGCCCCTGGCGTGAGGCGGGGGCTCCCGCTGGAATAACAGCCGGGGGT